GGGGGGATGGAGTCTCACGCCATCACCCAGGCTGGAGTGCAGTGGCGCAATCTTGGCTCACTGCAACCTCCGCCTCCTGGGTTCAAGCGATTTTCCCACCTCAGCTTCCTGAGTAGCTGGGACTACAGGTGCCCACCACTACGGCCGGCTAACTTTTGTATTTTTAGTAGAGATGGGGTTTCTCCATGTTGGCCAGGCTGGTCTCAAATTCCTGACTTCAGATGATCTACCCACCTCAGCCTCCCAAAGTGCTGGGATTACAGGCATGAGTCACTGTGCCCAGCAATTCTCCAATTCTCTTCATACACCAACTGGGTGTCCTGCAATTCAATTCAATTCAATTCTGACACTATCTACTGGTGCTAGCATCAGATGCTACAAGTTAAGAGCTTGGTCCCATAAGACTGCCCTCACTTCAAATGCCAGTCACAAGTCTGGGCCTCCTGTGCTTCTGACTAACTAGTTATAAATTGGGGCTTCCTACAACCCCCCTCTCTGGGTTCAATAGTTTGCTAGAATGGCCAGGTGTAGTGGCTTACACCTGTAATCCTAGTGCCTTGGGAGGCTGAGGTAGAAGGACTGCTTGAGGCCAGAGTTTGAGGCCAGCCAGGGCAATATGGCAAGACCTCGTCTATACAAAAAGAGTATTTAAAAAAATTAGCTGGGCATGGTGGCACGTGCCTATATTTCCAGATACTTGGGAGGCTGAGGCAGGAGGATCACTTGAGCCCAGCAGGTTGAGTCTGCAGTGAGCTGTGATTGTGCCACTGCACTCCAGCCTTGGTGACAGAGCTAGACCCTGTCTAAATTTTTTAAAAATTTGCTAGAATGGCTCACAGAAGTCAGGGAAATATTTCACTTATGTTTTCTGGTTTATCATAAAGGATACCATTTAGGAAGAGATGCATAGGCAAAGTGTGGGGTGAGGAACATGGAACTTCCATGCCCTCTCCAGATGCACCACCTCCCAGCAACTTGATGTAGTCACCAACCCAGAAGCCCTTGGAACTTGTCCTTTAGAGTTGTTTTTTTGGAGATGGAGTCTCACTCTGTCAACCAGGCCGGAGTGCAGTGGTGTGATCTCAGCTCACTGCAAGTTCTGCCTCCCGGGTTCACACCATTCTGCTGCCTCAGCCTCCCGAGTAGCTGGGACTACATGCGCTTGCC